CCGACGCCGGAGGTGCCTGGCCGCGCCGGCCCGGCGGCCAGCACCGCACGGCCGCGCCGAGGTCGCAAGAGCGCGGCGCCGTCCCGCCGGCGCACAGAACATGTGACGCCACCGCCGCCGTCGTCCACCGAGGGGCCGACGCCGCCCTGCTCACCACCGGCGGCCGACACGTGCTGCGTGTGCTGCGCCAGCCTGCCGCTGGCGGCCCCGCTGACGCTAATCGATCGCCAGCTGCTGTTCGAGCTGCCCGCTCAGGAGGAGCTGAAGCCATGCCCGTTCTGTGCGTCGCTGAGCGGCTGCCCGACGGCCGGCACGCCCGAGGAACACGATCACGTGAATATCACGGAGCCGGCGCCGCGACGACGTCTGCACCTTCTGGTGGAGGGCGCGGCTCCGGGTACGACCGCCTCGGCGCGCCGAGTGCTGCGCCTCAGCGACCAGCATGGCGGGGAGGTAACGGACCATTGTCCGGCGAGGCGCCCTCGTCGCGCGCTGTATGTTTGTATGTCGGGCCCGGCGCTCAACATGGATCAATGTCTGGCGTGTGAGTGTCAACTCAATGTCGGCCGGGCTTGACCTATAGCCACTGTGCGTTGTTTGTTATGCACAGAGCTGTTTCAGCGTGGTGGTTTCTCCAGCTGGTGACATTGTTCCTGCAAGCAAATTGCGTACTTAGAACTACAGCTTGGTACATTGATGGCGCCAAAAGCTCAGCGCTGAGACCCTGTTGTATTTTTTTTCGTCAGCAGCCAGCGTCAAAAGGAAGCGGTGGACTGTATTTTATAATATGTTACCATGCATTATGAGCGGCGGAGCTGATAGTTGAAAACGGTGTTCTTTCATTAATTAATTGTGTGTAATGCGCCACATAAGCAAGTGAAGAACTAAGCATATGCATTTTATGCCAGATAAAATCGTACTGCTGTGCAATGTTACGCTCGTAACATTCATGCGATGCATTACTCTGCACCTAAGTCGTAACGTATGAACGAAACTCGACATTTTCATTAATTTGTTGGCTGCAGAATGCACCCAGCGTGACGGACTTTCCATTGCACTTTTACTGACCACATCCACCGCCAGTCGTAGAGCCTATTTTGTGTTCTGCATGATGCCCGCTCTACAGGCACCGGGCTGGTAGGGTGCTTCCGTCCTCCCGATCCTGCGTGCCATGTTAACCCCACCGTCTGGCTGGTATTGATCCTGTCCGACGACTGACCCGACCCGACCCGACCTGACCTGACCTGACCTGACCTGACCTGACCCCTGTTGTCGGCCAGGTGGTGAGCGTGACCTGGGAGACGGGCGGGCGGCGGCGCGGCCGGCGGCGCGGTACCTGCCGCGGCGGCCCAGTTGGCGGCCGCGAGCTCCAGTGCCAGATCTGCGGCAAGCAGATGCTCTCCATTTCGCGGCTGAAGAAGCACCAGCTGGTGCACACAGGTGGGTCGGTGCCGGGCTCGCCCCGTTCGCGAGGACCGCCGGCGCCCAAGGCACTGGCCGGTCACAGGCCGGGTCGCAGGCTGCGGGCCGTCGGACCGGCTTGGCGCGCGCTGTCGGCTGGCATGGTGCTCTTCGTGTCTTCACTACTTGCGCGCTCCGGTTGTGATGGGCCTTTCGAGCTGTAGTTCAAAGTCATGCTCAAAGGCCATTGCACTCAATGTTCAAGTGATGTTGTGAAGTGATGCGATTTTGTTGTTATTGGTACATGCGCCTTCAAAACCAGGGAACCGCATTAAAATTGCCCTGGCCAAGGAATCGGTCCACGTAATTTTATCATTTATTTGTTTGTTTGTTTATGGGCTGCGAAAAATATTGAGTAGGAGTTGTTGAATATTTACGGTGTAAAGGAACATGCCCAATTTTCTGGGTTGGAAGGTCGGAGTACATCACTTTTTTGAACGTAGCTCCTGTGGTCCTCTGCCCTCCTGTTCCTACGCCCATGATTTGTACGATAGATCTGGTGTTTTGTTTGCGATCTAGTATGCATACCATAAGTATGAACCTCGCACACAGCCGGACTTCACGCAGGAATGTGACCGTTAGTTGCTGCCAACATGCTGTGTGGCAGCTGTAGGCCTCTGTTGCATATCATGTGACTTGCGAGTGTCAACTGATGGGAGTTTGAAACTCGACACGTATACAGTTAACGGTGGGCAAGTAATGAAACTTGCGTGCGAAAGATGCGCTTGTACTAAGGAATCGGTTCGCAGTTCCGTTATTTGGGAACACGGACAATTCATGTCCCGCTGCCTAAACTGACCACGTGTATCGATGGTCGAACCTTAAGCCCTTGAGAGTCCTTAAACCCTGTCCCTCACTCGGCTTCCCAGCGTAAAGGTCACCGTACACTGGCATGTCTCCCCAGATGATCGTCCATTCCACTGTGACAAGTGTCCCAAGTCCTTCAAATCCGTCCATGTGTTGAATGCCCATCAGCTGACCCACATCAACTACCGACCCTTCAAGTGCGACATCTGCCTGCAGACCTTCGCGTGAGTGTCCCGGTCCAGAGCCATGTCCTCCCCTCTGCCTTCGCCATCCGCCCGCCCGCTCCGCCACTGAACATGACGTCTGTCAGCTGGTATCGAAGGCGCGATACTCGGGCCCCGTATTCAGATGACGTGGTTGGGTAATCAGGGTGGCAGAAGGGCCCATTGTTCTCCCTTTTTAGTAAAAGGAACGCAGCACTTCCCTTTATGGAGCACCATTGGCTGCAGTGGTCATATTAGCGCTGTGGCCATGGAGTAACCGGGAATTCGGACGCGGACCCCCACTGTGGCAGCCAAAGGCGCCAACCACTCAGCCATTACGAGCAGTATCAATTTACTGACAACAGTATCAGCAACGCCCTGGCGGCGCGCCCCGGCCCCCCTGCCATGTGCGTGCAGTGCCTGCTGTCGTGTGACCTACACCTGACGCCGTCAATCTGTGCGGCCTGGCCCGGGGTGGCCGGCTCTGCAGTCAGGCGGCGGCCCGGGCAGGACTCCTGTGGTCCGTGCCTCTTCGGGACTCCGTACTCGCGTCGACGGACCGTCCTGTTCCGATCGCGGCTAGCACGGCGATTACCGTCGCTGCAGCAGCGCGAGCAGCCGCTGCCGTCGGCACGTCCTGTCCGGCCGCGCTGCCGCTGCCGCCGCCGCCGCCTGTGCCGCCCGCGTGACGCCGACTGACAGGAACCGTGCTGTGCCCTCTCTCTCTCTCGCTCGCCCTGCCGGTGGCGGTGCAGGAAGAAGTGGACGCTGCGCGGCCACATGTCCACCCATGATCGCCAGGACGGCGCTGATGACCTGACCTGCACGGACTGCCGCTGCTCGTTCCAGGACCGCTCCACCTACGAGAGTCATGTCAAGATCCACACGTCAGTCCACCGCCGGCGTCCGCGCTGGCTGGCGCTGGCCGTGGAGCCGGTGCCGGCTGCTGGGACGATAGCGCGCCGTTGTTACGCGCCTCGCGTAGCTACGAGACAGACTACCGAATGGCAGAATATATCAAACCTAGCGTACGTTAGGATGTATCGCACCTCCACGCTTACAATGGCTCATGATGGCTACAGAGTACGCAATTTCGCTAAGTTGCAAGGCCGGTGAGAGCGACAACACAGAAAAGCTGTGTGCATGACAGGTCTGGTATCAACATGGACAATGTTGAGGAGGGGCTGAAGCTGAAAAATTACTAGGGTACGTGCTTCCAACGAGTGCTGGTGCTGCAGCAGTGTATCGCGGCCTGCGTGACCATTCCAGCGCACCTGTGGAGGCTTTGCGACACCTTCGCAGTGCGGTGTGTGGGCAGTGGGCCGATGTTGTGTCGACCGTCGCCAGGTTACCGGGGCACGGCCTGCCCTCCACCTCCCCCCTCCCCCTCTCTTTCACAGCGGTGAGAGGAAGTGGGAATGCAAGGTCTGCCACCGTGGCTTCGCCAAGAAGCTGAAGCTGAGGAAGCACATGGTGGTGCACTCCCAGGCAATGCTGCACAAGTGCCACCTGTGCGACCGCGAGTTCAGATGGTGCGTCCACCAGGCCGACGCAGGGCTGTTCTTTTGTTCCAGCTCGCAGTGGTTTTGTCTCCGTTCTGGCTGGTATTGCCTAGTCTTGCCGAATTCGCCATAGCTGCTTCTAAAGAAAATTTAGCAGATTTGCTGCGTAGCGGATCGCGTCAGTTGGGCCTTCAAATAGGTTGCTAAAAATGGTTGACTCGCTTATGGTTGCGTCTTTGGTTTTTGCTACTGTGATTGTGACAGTGGCAGAATCAGTTCGTTTACAGATGTGATGATCTGTTATGGGTATCATATGGTGTATATTTGATATATGGTTTGGTGTTGTATATGGGGAAGCTATGCAGCATTTTGCATCGCAGAACGATTTTCCCTCATTGGATCCTTCCATAAAAGTTTTGACGCGCGCACGATGGCATACATAGAGCAGGTGTGCGTCCCTTGAATAGGCTTGCGGTCGGGAGACGACCAAAAATTTAAAAAAGAGACGCCAAAAAATCCCATAGAAACGCTTAGAACAGATGCGATTTATGGGTGTCGATCTGGGAATATCGCAGTGCATGGTAGTGACTAGTACTTAGAGCGTTTTGGGAATTCCATAGAAACTAATAATTCATTTGAAGGGAACGTAGATTTGAAAGGTCTGAAGATAGTGTTGACTCACCGGAAGATGCATTGTGGCAGCCCTAAGATTTGAATCAATATTGAAGCTCATGTCCGTATTATAAAGGTGTCGGCGTGGCGTCCGTGTTAGTAGCACAGCATGCTGGACTCATAGGTGTCGACAGCGACACTCGGCCCCGCCTCCTGCCACGCTGGTGGCAAACTCAATTTAAATTCGGAACTTTGTGTGTTTGCGTGATGGGTCGTGCACATCACTGCTGCTGTTGCCGCTGTTGCCGTTGTGCGTTGCTGGTGAGCTGTGCCTCGCGACCGCGGGTTGTCGTCGCGCCGTCTGATGCGCTGACGTCACCGGCCGCTGCCCGCCGCAGGAAGGAGAAGCTGGTGAAGCACGTGATGCTGCACACGGGCGAGCGGCCTTTCAAGTGCTGCGAGCCACGCTGCGTCAAGTCGTTCCGCGCCCACTCCGATCTCAACGTACACATCCGGAACGTGCACAAGAAGCAGCCCAAAAAGCTGGACTACCCCATCGGTGAGTGGGACCTGCGGACGAGGCAGGCCTCGCGCTGGAGCTACGCGCGACCCAGGTGTGCACCCATCGTAGGTTCGCTTGGGTCACCCGCGTCTATGTGTGCATAGGCGCGTGTGTGGACGGCGCGTGCGTGCATAAAGTTTCCGTTAGGTCGCTGCCGTCCCCTGGCGCCTGAGCGCGAATGCAACTGTTAACCCTCTTGCACCCAATACTTACGCGGAACTCATGCATTCGGGAGTCCCCCAGTCCCCCAGCGTCCCGTGCCGGCCCCACTGTGTCGAGGCGGCGGGGCTGGAGACCGCAGCGCCGGCCGTCCACCATCGAGCGTGCTGGTGATGGGGCGGCACGCTTCGCAGTGAAGTCAGAGCCGAAGCCGAACCACTGCGAGCTGCTGTTAATGCGGGTCAACGAGATGGATGGCATCCCGCCCTGCGACCTCTGCACGCGCACGTTCGCCAGCAAGGATGACTACCTGAACCACATCATCCCCGCCCACCGCGACCAGGAGGCCTACGTCTGCCACCCGTGCAAGCGGGTCAGTCGACCTGTCGGCCGGTGCCAGGGCTTTCCCGTGACGGAGGCCGGCGGTAGTCGAGCGGCGGGGCTTGGTCAGCGTCGGGCAGTCGTCTGCCCGACGGTCCGCGCTTCGGTGAGGCTGCGAGGTTACCGGAGCCCGTGTTCCACAAGGCTGGGGTGGCAATTGGAATATGTGTGATGACCCGACCTGTGCGTATAAGTGTAGAAAGCTAGAAACTTCCCTCACGGCACACAGAGCCTTTTGTGCCAGATATAGTATGCAACAAGCACAGCTACGTCGAGTGAGTGTGAAGTAACGCAACTGGAGTCCTACGTCCCACTGAGTGCGTGTGAAGTAACGCAACAGGAGTCCTGCGTCCCACTGAGTGCGCTGCGCCGCAGGTGTTCGACGACAAGCGTGTGTACGACGATCACGTGGAGGAGCGGCACCGGCGTGGCGAAGTGATGTGGCGCTGCCAGCTCTGCCCCAAGATCTTCAACAAGCGCTCGCTGTTCGAGGGCCACAAGACGCTGCACACCACCAAGTTTCAGTGCAAGATCTGCTTCAGGTTAGTGCCCGCCTCGGCTGCCGGCCGCGAGATCCCCCGCCTCGGCCCTCGGCTGCAGATAGCCGGCGCGGTGCGACGCACAGGTGGCGCCACCGTGCCGCCGCCGGCGCGGTCCGACCGTGCCCGCTCACACGTGCCCGGTGCGTCGAGCGCCGTCCGCTCAGGGGACCGTGCCGTCGGCTCTTTAACTTTGGGGAAGCGGTTGGCTTAAGGTGTGTTGACCAAAGTTTGCACCTCTATTGACGTGCCCCGGTTCAGCGCATGTGTCCGTTCCCGGATAGTGGCGTAGCTAATTAGGTTAATGCCGAGTCCATCGGGCGCCGGGTATTAAGGTGGCTGTTGCACCATATGGCGATGTACCGGATCAGAGGTATTTGCATACGTATAGGACATGGCGCTCCCAAGGGAAGCTACCACTCTGCGCAGTCATTATGCTCTCGCTGGTCCACAAAAAAGATGCTGAACTCGTAATCCAACGATGCTGGGTGCGAGCGACAGCGGGCGCATTGTCAGACCTGACTGACATAGAAATGTCAGCTGCCACCGCTGACTAGAGGGCAACGGTTGGGTTAAACCCGACGTAGGTCTGTCTGGCAAAACGGCCCGAGACAAAATTATCCCGACGAACTGGATTACCATACCTTGGAGGATGGATTTTCGACGCAAGTGTCTGGGATTAGGTGCAGGAACCAAGCTCTACTTGACAGATGCGCCGAACACAAGTCCAGCCGCGCAAACCATTAGAAAAAATGGCGTATGAAAGAGATAATGGTCCAGCGCTAGGTGCCTCGATGTGAGCTCGTCAACTCTTACATGGATGGAAGCCAGTCCTCATAGGCCGCGTGCTCGTTTGATCGTTGCTGGGGTGGGCTGACACGATGCTGCTGACTGTCGTCCGGTGGCAGGTTCGCGTCCGACGAGAAGCGGCTGGAGGTGCACATCATGAACCACCGATACACCGACATCGACAACAGCTCACATGCCTGCACCATCTGCTGTCGACAGTTCAAGCTGCGGTTCTCACTGAAGAACCACATGTTCAAGGTGGGGGCGGGCGAGCGGGCAGTGCGGAGGGGTCACGATCTCGGTTGTGCGCGGCATGTCAGCCGTGTCATCATGTGATACTTGTGGAAGTGCTGCAAGACTTGTCCGTGCTATCGACATTGCTTCTCATGGTGTCGACATTGCTTCTCATGGTGTCGCTGGCAAAACAGGAGGCTTTTATCACAAACGAGCTGCCAACAAAGCGCCACCGTCATTGTCCTTGACGCATACACAATGCCACTTATACTAATCGCAGAACGCGCGTATTATTTGACCCGGCCGGGACGGAAAGGTCAACAAGGGACCGGCCAAAAGTCAGGACATCCGAAGCAGAGCGGTGCCTGACTTCCCTGCAGCGAATCAATGTCGGATCTGATTTTGAGCAGCAAAACACTATTCTGAGTTGACCTCCATGCCGACTCCAGAAGGCAGGGCTCAGTGCTGGAATCGATGTTGGTGAAGCCGATCCCGTTAGCAGTTGCTTACGGGCAGTCGTTGACGGCTCCATGGGTAACGCAATAGCTTGCGAAGGACACGTATTTTGATAATCAGACAGTCGACACCCATAAGAGATTGGAAATTGATTGGGAAATTGGCTAGTGATTGGGAAATCGCGCTACGTAGGCGTTGAGCTCAGGGTGTTTGGCGCAGACAATGCCCGACTCCGTTGAACGGTTACTCTTCAGTAAAAAGTAATGTATACAACACATTTGGGATGCGTTTCTTCGGAAAATGATTGAAAGCTTGCGTCATGCGCTTTTGTTAGCCTTGCTTGCCATGAAGAGGGCCGTGCTCGATTCTGGCTTGTGCGGGCTCGCGTTTTCCAGTTTCTATGCCTAGCGTGGGATGCTACTGCGCCAAATTTTCGTAGAATCTGTCGATGAATTGAGCAAAGTGAGCAGAACATGTGTACTGGGGATGTGGGGTTGGGTCGCGGCTGCCGCAGACGTGAGCAGACCATGTGTGCTGGGGACGTGGGGCTGGGTCGTAGCTGCCGCAGACGTGAGCAAACCATGTGTGCTGGGGACGTGGGGCTGGGTCGTAGCTGCCGCAGAGGTGAGCAAACCATGTGTGCTGGGGACGTGGGGCTGGGTCGCGGCCGCCGCAGAGGTGAGCAGACCATGTGTGCTGGGGACGTGGGGCTGGGTCGTAGCTGCCGCAGAGGTGAGCAAACCATGTGTGCTGGGGACGTGGGGCTGGGTCGTAGCTGCCGCAGAGGTGAGCAGACCATGTATGTTGGGGACGTGGGGCTGGGTCGCGGCCGCCGCAGACGTGAGCAGGCCATGTATGTTGGGGACGTGGGGCTGGGTCGCGGCCGCCGCAGACGTGAGCAGGCCATGTATGTTGGGGCGTGAGACTGGGTCATAGCTGCCACAGATGTGAGCAGGCCATGCATGCTGGGGAGTGAGACTGGGTCATAGCTGCCACAGATGTGAGCAGGCCATCTGTACTGGGGGCGTGAGACTGGGTCGGGCTGCCGCAGATGCACGGCATCGACCTTCCATCGCTGCGGAAGCCGCCCATGCGCAAGTTTGAGTGCAGTATCTGTCACGCTCGCTTCGTGCGCCCCACGCCTGCTTACAACCACATGGTCCGCGTGCACAACATTCGGCCGGAGCCGGAGGTGCAGGACATGTTCGACCTTACCAACCTGTCCGTGGAACACCCAGAGGTACGGCGGGTGCGGCAGAGGCTGCGGCAATGGGCTGCTCCACTGTAGCCGGCAGTTTTACATGGGCCCATTGGTTTCAACTTATTTAAAGGTGTTCACTGTGGGGACCCTTGCGTATTGGCTTCGAATCTCAGATTGCTTTTTGTGTGTTGTCACCTTATCACGTATTTGTGTATACTGGATGAGGGTTGGATTCCTGCCGGATTGATCTGTGTTAATGGTATGACCTTATGACCAATGAAAGTTTTATAAACACCATGCCAACCTTGATGTCGATCGGGCAGTTGTGGCAACGAGAGGATGTTTCAGCAGCGTAACGTGCTGTCGAATGGGGGCTCTGCCGCTGACATCCTTCCTCACATCATCCGTCGCCAGCTAGCGGCCCTGTCTCCCCGCCAGACGCTCAACTACCAGTCCATGGACCCGGACGACCCGAGCGCGCTGGCGACGCTGCAGAACAACATCCGCATCAAGGTGGAGGCGATGGCTGCGCAGGGCATGTGGGATGCCTCGGAGGCCGACGGCTCCACCTACCTGGGCGGCAGCGCGGCGCGGCGCCGGCAGCCGGCGCGGCTGGCCGCCGGCGACGCGCCGCCCGCCCGGGCTCCGCCGGCCCGACCGCCGACCGCAGCCGCCGTGTCTGACGCCACCGCCGTGCCCGCCGGCGCTGCCACGCCGCCCGCGTCGCCGCCGCCGGCCGGTGACGCTGCCGGCAAGACGCTGCTGCACCTGTCGCCGGGCAAGCGGGGCGAGCTAGTGCGCGTAGACGACTCCCCGACGCGGCCGGCGGCCGGCGCCGCGCCGCCGGCCGCCAGCGCGCAGCGTCAGCAGATCATCGTGATCCAGCAGGAGGGCGAGGAGGAGATCGACCTGTCGCGCGTGTTGGGCAACACCACGTCGGCCGATGCGCAGACGCTCACTATGAACGCTGACGGCGTGCTAGTCGACGACCAGGGCAACCCGGTGTCGCTGATGGTGGAGGGCGGCGGCGCGGCCACGCACCTGCTCGAGTACCTGCGCAGCTCAGACCCGGTGACCAGCCGGCCCAACTGAGCGGCGCGCGCCGTCGCCGCCGCCGCCGCTGCCGCTGCCGCTGCCGCTGCCGCTGCCGCTGCCGTTGCCGCCATCGCCGCCGCTGCCGTTGCCGCTAAACCGGTGTGGCGGTGCCAGGAGTCGGACCGACCCTGCGTCGCGCGCACAGTTAACCCGTTGTCATTCGTTGCATGTCGCCTGTCGTGTGTGGTTGGGGAGGGTTTGGAGGGAGGGGGCAGCGTGGTCCTGCGCTGCTGAGTGTATCTAGTCATGTTGGATGGCCGCCGCCGGTCGGCGATGCGGGCGGGTCAACATCGCGTGCGGTCGGTGCCCCGCACGGACCTGCGCCAGCGCGGGTGCAGCCGCCTGCCCTGTCCCGGCCTTTGGGCTGCTTCTCATCGTGCATGCTTATCCCGCATCGTCGTTTACTTTCCCGCGGGTCACCGTTTCTCACGGCCTTGGGTCATCGTGGTTCTCGGAAGGATGACTGTGGTCACTGTCGGACGTTTTTCTTGTGTTTAGCATCCAGTTGTATCTGTGTTCATTGTTGTGAGCTCGCTCTTTGGCGGCGAGGGTGTCTTAAGCCGGTTTGACTCCGTTCACTGTTCCAGACGTTCAATAAAACATAAGCTCCCGGCAATGCTGACAAACTTTGGTCTGAAACATGTATAGAGAGGGACGTTTCCCTTGCATTCACTAATGTACTTTCAGTAAACCTATGAATCAGTTTCCTGCAGACGATTTTCACCATGTGGGGTTCGCAATGCTTGTGTCATGGCTAATAAGTCAACCATATGATTGCATAGACATGCTCAGTTTTTGTAAGGCTGCATGCGACCTTCCTCAAACGGTTGCTTGGATGTCCTACTGCAAGGGCTGCAGCTTGCACACGAGGCATTGAAGTAACTGCGCAGATCGGGGACCGAGTGCGGCACCGGCCAAAATGTTCTCCTTGAACAATCCCGCGAATATGATGTCATCCCTGCGGATGGCGCTGCAAATGCAGTATTTGTGAAGATTCCAGCATGCCTTTCTTCCGTCCATTGGTTCACTGTTCCCACACATTATTCAACCTAAATAGACAATATCACCACCAGCTTTGGCGGCGCTAATTAATCGCCGGCATGACATGCGGACTTTGTACCCCTTGACGTGATGCGCAGGCGTCTTCTTTATGCATTCAGCCCTTCAATTTCGCGGAGCTGCTGATCATGAGCAAAGAGTGAGGCCGGCAGATCTGCGCTTGACTGAGTCGGGGTCACTTGACTGAGGCTCTGGAATCGGCCACATTTTGGGTGAGTCAGAGCGGAATCGATTCCTCTGGACAGGCATGTTGATCGAAGTTGGAGTTGGTTGCTGGAGCTGGTCAAAACTGTCTGATATCGAAAGCGGCTCGTAACGGAACTGGTCCAATCAGAACAGATTCCGGAACCAAGTCGTACGTCCTCGAGGCACAGGCAAAGTCGCCTCAGTCTTGGACTGCGCTGCTCAGAACTCATCGGAATTTGCTTAAAACGCCGGGAGTCTGAGTTGGAATTGATGGCACTCCTGGCTAGCGCGTCTACAGGCCAGGTTATTAAACATCTCAATTTGTATCAAAACTCCATCTAAGCAGCATGCTTACGCAGCTTTAAGCTTCCACCTCTCCTTTCATGCCCTGGTCTGTTCACTGCTGCAGCGCACCGCGCTGGCGGTAAGATCAGGCGACATACATACCTGTTCTGGAGTGCTGCAGCTCTGTCGCTGTGCGATCGTTGGTGCGTGGTCGAATCGGTTGCCTTCCGTCAGTGTATTCGTCCGCGTCTGGACCTTGCTTTTCGTCGCATGTGTATTCCAAGCTTCACCCGTTTTTCCTTTATTCATTAGTTTCCCTTTTGTTCTGATGCCCTCGACAAGAAACTGCAAAATCTTGTATTCCTTTTTTCGCTGGTTGTTCGCCTACGCTTAATCAAAGTTCCAAAAATGTACGTCCTTCTAATCTGTGTGCGGAGTTGACCCCGGAGCGTATAACTGCGACCGCGCTCGTTACTCACTGCTCGACTTGCAATACGGCCCTGTTCAAGAGCGTGTCCAGGGAGGGGTGGGGGCAGCCGGACCGCGGCCACCAAGATGGCCGAAGTCGGGTAAGAATGACACATTTCTTGGCTTCGAAAGAATGGAAAACTTCTGAGCAGTTTGTTTAACAAATGCTACTGGAGGCATTAGGAGCGAAATTTGACGAGTTATTGAACATCAGGGCACTTTGTTTGGCTTTTTGACTCCTCTAGGCCGCTGTTGATCCCCCCCCCCCGTGCGGTATTTTGTATCCGCCATTGCTCCTGTCCTGCCATCTGCCGGTTACCTGAGAAGGTTTTCACAGCCTGTCGTACCGCACCCTGTGGCCATCGGCAACAGGTGTGGAGCAAGTGGTGAAGTTACGCGGTCGGTACCCGCTTCAGGACAGTTCCCTTCGCCGTTTGTGGGAAGTGTAGCACCAAATGAAGCCAACGCTGAATTGCGTCTGCACGGGACGTATGCCTGTTTACCTGTGGCGGTAGATCACCCGTAACGATTGTAGTGCTAGCATGTTATATGCATGTAAATGCGTTTGGTGCGCCGTCAGACGATTAAGGGCCGGGACGCCGACCTTGCGGCCGCGAGTGACCTGCTGTTCGACTCGGACCACGGTCGTGTCAGCCAGTGTCAGGCGGGCGGCGTCGGGACCGTGGCGCCACCAGTGGCGTCGCCCGCGGGCCCGCCCAGCGGTCCGGCCGGGGGCGCTGCAGCTGTGTCGACAGATGTGTGCGACGGCCCGGCGGCCGACGACGGTGCAGGACCCTCACACGCCCGGCTCGGCCCGCGACACGGACTCCGTCGCCTTCCCCCGCACGGAAAGCAGCCGCGCAGTCATTCGCCATGGCGTCGCTGAAGCACTACGGGAGCACGAGCAGTCTTGGCAGCAAAGGCAGCCTCTCCAACCTGCTGAAGGACGGGGTCGACAACTTGGAGGGCTCCATCACTAAGAAGTGGCTTTCCTGGATGTTACGGTATTTCGCGGGCCGGTTTGGGCCGATGCTTAGTATGTTCCGGCGTGTTTCATACTCCCGCCCGTGCTCGAGGACAAAACGTGCGACTCGCGTTTCTGCCACAGACTCGCTTGCACGTTTATGTGGTACTTTTTCCATTCGCGAAAGGAAAGGAGCTTTTTATGTTGTGGTCGTTATTTGTGTGGTCTGTTACCTTGTGGGACACTCCACGCGCATCTAGTGGCTTCCGGCGTCTTCTTGCCGTTTGACCACTCGCCATAGTATATTTGTAAGGTGTGATCAGTGCCTATCCTACATAATGTCAGATTTGAAGACTCTCGTTCTGGGGTGAAAGGGATCCCGATGTGCGTAAGTTAGGCATTGCGGAAGTAAGCACCCAAATCTAGGAGGGTTCTCAAATCGCACGGGATGCGCGCATGTTCTGGCGCTCGACACGCTAATATCATATTCGAAATTTGAGTGCCACTCATTAGGTGCACGGAGCAGCCTCACTACCTGCAATACAGCCCTAAAACTACGCTGTCGTTTCTTAGCGCTGCGCAGCGTATACACACGCCACATGTCATTGGTTACTGTGATGCTCCGGGCATGGTTATTATACACGCCCCACGCAACATTGCCCATCATGCACGTACTGATGGCCACGCGGTAAACCAACAAGCCAATTAGGGTGCTTTGCCATCGACGTCATTGACCGTGTGTGTGCCCCGCAGGCGCCGTATGCAGACCAGTGTCGGAAGGGTGAAGACAGCTGAGGCCAATAGTTTTGTGGACGCGACCGTCGAGCAGACCAGGGAGCTGGTGAAAAACGAAGGCCACGAAGTCATGAAGGTGCCCAACGACCAGACGGTGTTCGAGGAAAAGGTGAACAGACAAAGAACGTCGTCACTTATGTAAGGCTGTTTTTCAGCTACTCCAGCTTTGGTGGGCCAGAATTTTCTGCCCTATTGCAGCTTGGCGATATTCTTCGCCAGTTCCTAGCTCAACATTAATCTTCCTAGCTGGGAACACTACGTCGCCACTTGCTATCCATTTTCCTTCCTCTTTATTTGTCGGTGTTATTTCCCGTAACGATGCAGGCATGCATGCCATAATATGAATGCAGGTAATAAAGTTGGATATATATATATATATATATATATATATATATATATATATATAATCTAGGTTACGTAAGTCGCCATTTTAGATACACCAGAAATAATAATAATTCGTACTTGCCTAATAACACTACGCAATGCAGTACATTAGACAACGAAATGCATTGTACTGAACATGAACGTTAGTTCTATATTCGTTATGTAACAGGGGCCGTGGCATCAACAACACCTTTCCGTACAGTTAAGGTTCTTTTCAAGGCTGTCCACGCATTTCTGACAGCACGTGAGGAATACCCTTTGCGCTGACAAGTCGATAACAGAGCTCTCTGTTAAACTACGGCCGAAGTTGACGCGCATCGGGTTTCCTTCCAGTTCTTGTTCTTCCGCGTCTCCGCCTCGGTGACTTTCCAGTCCTCCTACCTCAAGGGCCTGACTTCACTGGAACGGATAGGCGATGCTGTCTTGGAGCTGGACGGCGACTGGCTCACTCTGCAGACCGCGCTGGCTGCGGACCAGATAGAGGTACATGTGGAAGTGGCGACGTGGCCAACAACATCACCTCGTACCGCACCAGCAGCTGCGAGACTGGCTAACTGGCTAACAGCGCGATCAAGTGACCACAGATAAGTTACTCGCGAGCTACGCTGACAGCGTTTTCAGTCGTAACCGGACGGTGGCGCGACTGCATCGTCTTTCCCTTTATCGAAACCCGTGATGGTCAGGCATTATTGTTGAACGTGGCTACTTGAGCCGGAGTTGCAGTCATCAAACCATCGGTGCGTCCCCCGTGTTATGTTGCATGACCCTACTGTTCTCGTATCACGATCCAGGTCAGGCAGGGCAGCCAGAGCACGTGACGAGGCCAGTTGCCACCCCCGAGTCGGCTGACCACCTCCGGTCAGCTGGTCACCCCCGGGTCAGCTGGCCACCTCCTGGTCAGCTGGCCACCCCCGAGTCAGCTGGCCACCTCCGGGTCAGCTGACCACCCCCGGGTAACTGGCCACCTCCGGGTCAGCTGACCACGCCCGGGTCAGCTTCCCCATCGGGCAGACTGACGGCGTGCAGAACGGTATATCGAGCGCCGCCATTATTGCGGAAAAGGTGCGAGCCGCCTAAGAGCGCGACAATGAAATAGCGAAGCGTTCTTTCATATCCCGTCCCGCCTCACAGCCTATTTAGGCGAGCGTGTCTGCATTAATGCTTCTCAGACCTGGTAGTTATTACGCGGACGCTGTTGGTTCTGCGATTGCGTCATCTGAAAGGTGGCGGAGAAGCATCAATTTTGCGGGCTGCAAGGATGGCAGCCAAATTAAACTGTAGAGGGCCGGTGCAGAAACAGCGCCGTGGCGGTGACTGTCCAGACTGGTCGGTGACGGCCTCTTCCCTGGCCTGTGATTAGAGCCAGCACAGCATCGCCACCGGTGGCATGAGCCGCTCGGGTCGAGCGACCCCAGCTGCTCTCCTGCCGGTCCGGCGGCCGGCCGGCGGACCGGTTCGGCCGCCGGCGGCTGGCACGCGCGGACGGCGGGGCGCCGAACCGCGCCGGCCTGGGACGTGTCACCCGGCCGCCCTTCCACGTCTGTCCCCTGTCGTACACAACAAACGCGCTGTTTGCACGAGCCGTGAGCCATGTCACCGACGGAAAAAACGGTCTATGTTGTCGCGATGTCCATGTCGCTTTACTGACTGCCCGCCCGCTCAAGTGCGCGGTGACACACGATGCCAGCTGTCTGCAGTGACGCACGTTACGTGCATGCTCCTTGCATCACCTGCCCAGCGGGCGACTTGGCGCAACGCGTGGCACTGCGGCCGCGGCACTTATCGTAACGGGCGTTCGCGGCCGTTGCCAGTGCTTCTCCACGTGCGCAGCCCGGTTCATGGACATCGGGCCCACGTTCGAGCTGACGGCGCTCGTGGACGCCGTCACCCTCAAGGTCAAGGCCCGCATCAACACGGCCACCACGCAGGTCATCATCTGCACCTGCGAGCTCGTCCACGTCGGGTGCGTGCTGGACCGGTGGCGCCCCGCTTCGCGCGCGGGCGACGCTGCTCGCGCTGCGATGCGCTCGAAGGTTCGGCGCTTATAACGCGAAGCGGAGTGGCGCAGGGTAACGTGGGAACTCCGCCAAGTGCTGGCGATGCACGTGAGTCGGTGCAACCGGGCGGCTCTCCGCTGGCAGTTTGCTAGGAGAACGGGGAAGATGTCGCAACGTGATTGACGTCCGTGCCGGGTGTCGGGTATGGTTGTTTTTTATTGAGCTTGTCTTTTTACTTTAATAGGCATATGGAAGAGTTTCACTTTGGTGAAGTTACAGCCTCGGGTCCCAGGACCCTGACCTTAATTCAGAACACGTGCTCTGTTGCATGAGACATCCTAGTGCGCGTGAGTCGTCAGGCAAAAGGGTAAACTTCTCTGCGAGTCCTGCGGGCCTCGAGTTGAGATGGAGACTCGTATGTCGTGTCGGACATGCTTCCCATGCACGTCCTTCCCACATATGTACGGCCTTCCCAATTCGAGAGAAACACACGACTTGTGGAGAGACTCACGCACCTGATGTGCTCACACTTTCATCCCTCTGGCTGATTTACTGGCATTCTCATCCCTCCAGTATATATTTCGGTTAGCATAGCTATTTGAAAGCTATGCGATACGCCGCCACTTGGTCGAACTATATTATGACCACAGTCACTGGGTTGCGGCAACGCTGATAAACTCATGCGTTGATGTCTCGCAATCCATCGACACCGACCGCTCACAAGATTTACACGTCGATAGCAGCTATTTTCCGGTTGTGTGTGGTTGCTTGGATTCGCTTCGCCCTCGCTGGTGAATACGGAAAGCCTGAGCGACTTTTGGCGCATTAAAGTGCGAGCCGTGCCGAGCGTTTTCTCCGTTCCAGGGACATGGTGGTGAGCGAGTCGGGCGAAGTGCTGCGCGTGGTGCCCGGCGGCCAGGCTGATGACGGGCAGGACGCCGCCGCCTTCCCACTTACCTCGCTGCTCGCCGTGGTCAGCGAGCTCTTCGTGTCGCGCTGCCGGGACAACATCATACAGCTGTTCGAGTGCGAGGCGCAGCGGCAGTTGCTGACGGCGCTGCAGCAAGCCGACCTGGAGCGCTTGGTCGGCATGTACGGCCGCAGCTACTTCCGGAGCGCCGCTGAGCCCGAGCCCAAGCTGCCGGCGCCCTGAGGCTCCGGACGCTGCTCAGGCGGACGCCGCTCGTGACCGGGGACGGGCGGAGCACGCGCGCGCAGGCCGCTTCATGGTGATCTGCCTGCGGTAGTCACTTGACGCGGCCTCGTGTCATCTCCGAAGCTGTAGCGTCTCGACCCTCAGTGCTCGATGTAATCCTTTATCAGGCGAGATACTGTGAGATTGGCTTGTTTCGAATGTGTGTTATGTATTGCTTTGACTGCATTATCGAATGTGGAGACAACGTGTCGAAAAGAAGCAGCATGAATGGTCTGTAAGTGTCATGACCAGCCAAAGACACATCGTGTGTCTGTGGCCCGGAAGTGGAATTGGTTTCATTATTGCTCCCCTGCCCGCGTTCGGCGTCAGGAGGCGGACACTTTGATGTGCCGGCATAAACTCTCACATGCACTGCTGTCGACCTTAAAATTCGCTTGTCAGATTGCTGATATGTTTGAGCTCTTCTAATAAACGTATGCCTTCGTCGAATTTAACCATCAACGGCATTGCTTTATCGCATAGCCATTGGTCTCGGGATTGCCGGCAATGATAAGCAGGTCTAGCCACTTACCTCCACTCGCTTTTGTCACGTGCTGTTTACCATGTCTGTCGGCTCTCCAATTATCGATCGCTGGAATGATTCATCGCCATGCGTCACAGCTCAGGCCCAGGCTTGGCCGCTTGCCTCGCCGGCAGTCCGCTGCCTGATCCGGGCCGCTCGTGTCGATAAAGAGAGCTCGATGTGACCGACAGCAGTCGTCTACATGCTCACAGCTACCTCTTCAACGCCTTCAGCTGATGGTCCGTTATTCTACGTGCAGATGGTTCATGCATGTCTCTGCGTTGTCGATGACTCGCCAATAAAATGGAAAGCACAGAGCCATAGGCTGCTTGGATATGGCCGACCGCGGGGAACTGCTTCTTATAGCGAAATTGAATCCTTTTGAGTTCAAATACGAGTGTTGGTAATTCAGCGGCATGTTGGCCTCGAAGTGCACAGTGCAATAGGGGAAGTTTTTGCCCATTAGCACACTAAAGCTGCAGTATCATTTACCTTTTCTATAAAATGTTTCGATGATGTGCATCCAATCACTTCATTCACAGCTCGCTCAGCCATCAGGCTCATCGGCGGGAGTGGTGAGTATATTACCTAAATCCAGTGGTCCTGCTGTTCAATACAACGCTATGTTAGTAATCCCTGTCGCACCACACATAAATATCAATGGCTGCTTTTGAGCCGTGTCGCGAAGGAAGCTTTGCACAGAAGCTGCACCCCCATGTTTCCCACCGACTCAACTCTGGTGGAAGGCCTCTGCTCTTGGCACGCTGCCAAGACCAGTCCGAGAAGCGTGGCAAAGTGGCGGTTAGAATTCGTGCGCGCAAGGGACCAAGCAGCGCTTGAGCGGGAGCCCATGCCAGGGTGCGAATCATAACAATCCTCGTCATGACGGCAAGTTGTTTCTGCTGTACGTTCGCAATCCGCACGGAGACATCCAAAGGCGTTACTAAGATTTTTGACGTCTGCACGGGCTGTGGGAGAGGACAACCGACGTGCTGGGGTCCAAGTTCTGGTGCCCCGGCGGCGCCAATCAAATGTGCTGTGGTTCAATTCATCGAAGCAACGAGACCCGTTCTCGCCAGGCGAGGGAACACGACATCCGGGTGGGCATGTCCCTGGCACCCTACCCGTGTTAAGCATTAAAGCCATCGTTCCAATCTCCTCATGTCCAAACACGTTCCCGATTTGGCCAATGCGCTTTGGAGGCAACAAAATAGTGGGTGCAAACTCAATAACTATTACATCGTACCCTCCCGTGGTCCATTCCTGGTATCGCCTATGCTCAAACCGCACCAGCGCGTCCAACGCTCCTCGGACTCCTCGTGATCGACCGACGTGTCACGGGCGGGAACACAGGAAGCCACGCCCACCTACGAGGTCCTGATTGGTTGAGTTTCTCCGTTGAGATTAGTGGCCTGCTAGTTGCAATGAAACATGTGCTTTTATTGTTTTCATTTTGCCATTTTCGCTTCATTTGAAGCCTTTGGTTTTCATGGATGCGTTAGCTGTCACGGAAAACAGAATTTAAAGAACCTTTAAAGGGTTTCAAGTCCATCGGGTGATCAAAGTTGGCTGCCCCTCAGGATATACACGTGTTTTACTAAGCATGAGTACGGCGTAGATATTGGGCGCTGCCTGTGGGAGCTTATGATCCGGAGGCTGGGGCGTTCAGGGGACCTTTTTCATAAAATATCGTGCAGAAGTGCAGCGCCGACATGAGCATAGACCTTCTTCTTGCAGCGGCGCAACATCTAGAGCAGCAATCGAAAAGGAAAAGAGGTAGGTCGTCGTGCGCTGACGAGCAAGCTGCTGAAAAATCGATGATTCCCACGAACTCGTGAGCCTGACCGGTCACGCTGTCCACGCCTTCAGTGGTTCGTGTCGAAATGCCTCTATAATGTAATTTTGGCCAATCTATCGTGAGTCACGCTGGTGACACCTAACGGTCTCAAATTTTGATTTTAAGATAACATGGAACCTACAACAGTGCTCTGGGAACATCAGCTGGTTGGGCATGTGTTGCCAGAATCAAGGCTGTCACTGCATGACAGTTAGCATGCATACAATTTTTGTGTGTTTTGGGCTATTTTCTTTTATCCTTTTCTGAGTCTGAAGTATCTAGACATTGACATCCTCCTCCTCCACCCACTTGATCAAATGTGGATTCACAGTGTAGGTCAGTATGTAATCAGTCAAGATTCAGTGTGAACCATAGTTGTTTTTATCATGTTATCACTGCATATGTCTATGTATGCAAGTGCACACTCATAACCTATGTTCAAAATGCCATTTATATTACTAAATTCTTGGGCACTAATGCTATATGGTGCTAAATGCTTAGGTACTAAATGGTTTCAGTTGTTTCCACCATTTCACTGTGTCTTGTGTTATGCTCTACACACAGCTGTACTTTAAACCTTTTTTTATTTATGTTAAAGATGAATCAAGGGTAACACATTTGATGAAATAGAAAGTAATTTTTGAAATCTTAGTAATCACCATGTGTCAATAATTCAAACAGCACAGTAATTGCAGTCTGCTTTATGTATTCTTTCCTGTACATGTTCAGTTACATACACTGCTTTTAAAAACAGATCAGAATGCATAAATAATTTCAACTTAGTATTTACCAGTATGTTGGAAAAAACAACTGCAGCATTCACAAACTTGTTAAGACAGCTGCCTGAGCCAAGGGACTAAAAACAATAGGTCTATGCTTGAATTATGTCATTGTTGTGCTCTCTATGCACATACCTATTGCATATAGTTGTGCTAGATTTGAAAAGAAAAAGAAAAGATGAAATAAGTTCAAAGTTTTTTATACCTATGCTGCAGTGTGTCAGTAATATGATCCATGTGTGTGATAGCATGGAAGCATTAAATAAGTTCTGTGTTAGTGTACAAGTCTGCTATTTGACAGACCAAACATATTTTGGGTACCATGAACAACAAGAACACTGGTATTGAAAGAACTGACAACTTATTAAAACATGAACTTTGGGCATAGTTGAACTATGGCTAGGCCATAGTATGCATGGTAGTGTTCAATCCATATTCTCTAAGGCTGTTTGGTTTCTGCCTTGGCTTAATGACTTCAGACTGTGGAATGCTAACTGCAAGGATCCAGGGTGTTTCTTCCACATTGAATTGTTGTTGATGATCTGATGTCAGGTATCAGGCATGTGCCTGGATCCCCCCAAATAAAAGATCCCAGGATCCAATCTCAGGGTCCCATTAACATGGAATCCTGCAGGATCTTGGATCCACCCTTGGCATGTAGGCACATGTTTGAACATGATTTAATCTTTTAAATTTCTGGCACTGTAATACCAATATGGTGCAACTTTTTGTTCAGTTTGATTTTGGACAGCTTTGCCGGGATTTATTCACTCATTGCGGCCCCCTGTGGCAAATTATTTGTGGTTACACAGTGAACAAACTAGTGCTTCAGCTCCTTCAAAACAGTTTCTGGACATCCATCTAATTTTTGATAATTGGGTGAGGGTGAGATCATATGTAGCATGAATGAAGACACTTCAGTGTGGATGATCACCAATAGAATATCGACCATAGCTAGCTAATGATGCCTACTTGCTGATGGTAACTGAGCTAGCTAGCCTTGACCATGTAGGTCTCTCCACATTTTGAGGCACTTTGTACTCAGCATGCATCTTGTTTTCAGTTTGATTCAGAACCAAAATGAAAGCTGGCTGGAGCAGCACAGCATTTCAACAAATTGCTTGTCATCATCACTGCTGCAACCCCTGGCCTAGCTCTGCCCTGCTCTGTCAAGCTCACTTGTGGTCACCACATTTGGCACGCGGTGTGGATGAAGCCACGTATAGAGACTGACACTCGGAGAAATGCGTTGTGGAGTCACAATCCTAGGGCTGCGTGACATCGCTAGGCGTACCAACTTACCAGTCCCGACAAAGGTCATACTTTTCTGCACGGAGACAGTCGACGGGAGTGTGGAACTGTTCAGAACGATGCCGGTGTTTGGACCCGTGGCGTAAGCGTACCTGTCTTTGTTTAGGATAATGGGCCTGAAAATTGATTGTCGAGCCATTCGTGTGTGCAATCCGGAGCATTGTCTTTCGGTGTTTGCGACGAACTGCGGCGTTGGTCGATACAGCGTACTTGAAATGTGAGGGAATGGGTCACCCGAGCGGTGAGTCGAGCTCAGTCTTGCCTGCCTTAGGTGGGGCGCGTCCGACCCGTTTTTACGAAGCCCGTTTGCTCGCAGCCGCTGGTCGCGCAGTGCCTGGCAGTTTTTGTTATCAAACAGGACAATACTGAGCCCATACTTGCATTGCAATAGTGCTGAGATTTATGCTCTAAGATTTGCACGCTCAAAATTTGTATCTGCGGTTCTGTTCATGATTGCGTATCTTTCGTATGTGCAAAGTATGCGCGGCTCTTCGCACCGAATTACTCGATCAATTATCGTGGGTATATCGTCAACGCATTTTTTCAAATGCATGATCTGCCTGCTAGCATTTTGTGGTATATGAAATGCTCTGCAACGCACATCTTCGAACAGCAAAGTATTCTAACGCATTTCTTTGTATATGCACATTCATCCCGACACCGTTCGGGTCGCGTTCTTTTCCCACACCCAGGGCCTTAGGCAGAGTGGTAGTGTGCGCATCTATATTTGTGCATATTCATGCATAAAGATTAAAGCGTCGAAACATTGGGTTGTGCGCAGTTGTATATATATATATATATATATATATATATATATATATATATATATATATAATATACTAAGACCTATTTCATGAATAGAGTGAAGACAGGGTAGACTGTTTCTTGTCATATGCCTGCCAATCCCGGGATGTTCGAGAATTCAGCCCTCCCGCCAAGTTATCGAGACGTCAATTTCAGTGCGAGTGAAATGCTTGAAATGGTGTGGAGAACTGCCAATGCGTGGAGTCAACAATATTTAATTGCTCAAAAATACTTCACGCCAAGTTCCATGTAGCAGGATAATAAATTAGCCGAAGGTGTACGTGTGTCTCGTGCGAATGAGTGCGGAATGAGTCACCATTAATCCCTCATCCGTCGAAGTACATGACTGACGTTTGTCAGTTCCTGTGCGAGCCCATGCTGTGGTGAGATGGCGGGGCGCAGAGGCGTATCCAGGGCGGTCGACTGGGGCGGGGGGGGGGGGGTCAACTGCGAGGCTTTACGTCAATCCTTGGTTTAGATCTCATTCTCCGTTATTTGGAACAGAGTGTAGTTTGTTACCTGAAGTGTTGGGGGGGGGGGGGGGGGGGTACTTTTCACGTCAAGGGTTCACAAAAGCCG